CTCCCGTGTCAGCTGCTAATCCGGTACAGCCAAGTGTTGGGTGCTGTGACCTCCCAGCAGCTCCTTCAGAGGTGCAACCTTATTGCTCAGCTGCTGCTTTCTGACTTCTCAAATCCCTCCTATGTTGTTGTTCTTGTTTTCTACCCTTGCAGTGGTAGCATAAGGAAAAAAAGCTGAGTTTGACCACATCCGTGAGGATGTCAAGCATTTATACTTTATTGGTTTAGAAGCTTACTAAATTTAAACAGAAGCATTAACATGGCCTTAGGCTCTCTTGACAGTTATAAACTCTTCCTTGGGGGGATTTCGGTAATGCTTTCTAATCAGCTTAAGGAGTTAATTAAACAGCTGTCACTTAGCTTCTTAATTCTGAGACTTGATGCTAAATAAGATTTGAAATTAGTTATGCATGACTGAGGCGTGGATCCTCTGATACAAATAGGATGGCTGCTAGCTGAAGAGGAGGAAAATCTGGGCCTTTAGACATAAATAATGGATATATTCATGGTGGTACCCTGGATTAATGCTCTAATGTCTGGTTAATGAAAACAACAGCAACAGCGACAACACTGTGAGAAAATGGAAGGTGTTAGTGTCCAAACAGGGCAGATTTCCAGGCAGCCATTCATTCCCATTTGCTGGCATGCCCTGTGCTTCAGGAGATTTCCATGATCATTTTGATCTCCTCCCTCTTGCAGTCTGTCGATGGCAAACCCAAAAGCCAAGATAGCTGTTGAAAACAAAAAGAACGAAGCATCGTTTTAGAAGCTAGACATTTAGCCTGGAAATAATGTATTCTACTGCTGTAATCAGAAACGTAACTGGAGATCTGCTGTGCTTATGAAACGTGATTTGTAGAGCTGCAATGGCTTTATAATACTTTTTCCCTGCTTACTCTGGTAGGACAAGTATTCCTCCTCCTGAAGGGTACGAGCTGCAGATCAGCCCGAGTTGTTCTGAAAAAATATGTCTGGAGGTCTTTTTGGAAAGCAAGTTGGTGTCTTACTGCTGCTTGTGAGCCTTGGGAGGGCTAACAGGGATTCAGCATTACAGCCTCCTGAACCTTGCTAAATGCTCCTGGAAAAGAATGCTGACAATCACTACCAGCTTTTTCTTTGCGTTTTACTATTAAACAAAATGTTTCTGATATAAAGCTGATGTGGAGAATCAAAGAGGAGCATAAGTCAGTTGTATGTTTATTTATTTTAGAAGTCATTATTAATACAAACATTAGGAAGCAACGTTTATGGAGAGAGAACAAAGGGAAGAAGAGAAATGCCTTATGATTTATAAAGATATTGTTAAAGTCCTTTCTTTCACCCCAGGAATTATAAGGTAAGAGATATCCAAAGGGAAATTAAATTGCAGAGAAGCTCCCAATTAAAACTGGAAAACTAATAGGTGTTCCCTTCTGCATATCTACTTAAATAGATACTTACTGCGTGCATCTTCTGAGTGTGCTTCTGCTGGAGGGCTTAATATGCTCAGTTATTTAATATGAATCTCTTCAGTAGGCAAAGAATGCTCACTCCAGAATCTTCTTGGAAAGTATTACCATTTTTGAATGCAGTAGTAATTTCAGAATAAAGATTACCTGCTTTTCCATTTCTATTGTGAGAGAAAAATGTTTTTCTCTGATTGCTCTTCCTATTTCCTTTGGTTATTTTAGGGGATCCATGCACGTGAGCTATGCTATGTAATGGTTAGAGGAAGATCAGCAACTTTTTAATAGCTGCTCAGGGAAGCAACCTTATGTGGTCTGAGTACTTATCTATAGCCTTGCAAAACCTGTAAGTATTCCCATCCTGCAATGCCCTAACATGATATCTCACATAATCTGTGTTAGTTATGGATAAAGAAAGTAATATTTCTTCAGAATATTCCGTTATCACTTAAGCAGCAAAAAGTAACACTTTTAAATTAGAAACTATTTAGATTTATGGCTTTTACATGCTGAGACTCTGATCCATAAATCTCTGTGTAGCTAAATAAGCATCATGTTTGTTTCCTCAAATGAAATAATTTTCATACGCTTTCACCATGGGAACATTAAGCCCTTTCTACCATTAAACAAATGACTGAAAAAACATTTTGCTCTGCCCCCGCTGCATAAATTGGTGTAAATTGTTATTATGCCTTTACGTTGAAGGGAGAGATGCAAACCAGGTGCCTAAGGAAATCATCCTCCAAACCCTGCGTGTGGAGATACCGAAGACTTTGCAAACTGAATGTACAGCTCAGTTAGTCCAGCACAGCTGCAGACATTGCCTGCTTGCTTTGTGTTTGTTTTGCTTTAGAGAAGTACTGGGTGATTTGTTTTCCTGGGACTGGGCACGCACTTACTGATAGAAAATCACTGTCGTTATTTCCATGAACTCCAGACAGTAATTTTTTTCACCCCTCTTTTCCTTTGGAGAAGTAAGGGGGGACATGATTACGACTGCCTAAGAATTAGCAGCACTGTCGCATGCTGAACACTGTGCTGATGGGGCTGTGCACGGTTCTATAAACGCTTCAGTTGTGAACATATATCTAGAATGTGAATACAGACAAAAGCTATAAAACCTTGAATCTGGAACCTTTGGTTTTAGAGATAAAACATGAATCTACTTCCTTCTCTTAGAATCAGCTATGCATACACTTCTCTCCTGGTATTTAAGCATTCCCATTAATGTCTTCGGGACTACTGCCATGATTGGTTGAAGTTCAGCTCTGTTGGACTGTGGCTCTGGGGGCAAGATGTCAGTTATGGAGCTTTGAAGCCAGCTGAGACTTCGAGCATGCAGAAATTCCCTGTGTGTTAGATGTGCTTTTCAAAAGTGACTGAGGAGGAACAGAAGCTAGTGACGGTGACATAGCTGAGTGCTGAGTAACGTGGTTTTGCATGCATTTCCAGGGAGCAGCAGGTATCATCACTATTAGGATGTAGTCCATATTCAAAACGTCCAACAGGACTTAGAATTTGAAAACACAAATTCATGAAGCTTTTGAGGAACGTTATCAGTTACTAGTTCTTACCATGGGAAATTACATTTGCCTTTGGTGAGGAGACCTCATTAATCATACTGTTTCAGAGGCTTGGATATTAAACCTCTCTTTACTTTATAAAATAATTACAAGGTTCATTTTGTAACGTACTGACTGGGGGAAGAAGGGCATTCCTGCTTGGGGGAGCAGGTATTTTCAGCTTGGCACTAGTTGCAAGCAGCTAGGCATGTGCTGTGGCCTCAAACAGCCCCAGTGAAATGCAATTCATGCAAAATGTTTGTGAGATAGGAACCTAATGCTTGGATTCTGTAATTATCATGGATGCTTAATAGCACTCGTTCTGTCACCCTGCCCCATTTCCAGCTCAGTGGAGCATGCAGGAGAGTGGCAATTGGATCTAAATAACCTGCATGTGGTAGCTTCGCTGCGAAGCTCAGATCTGAAATAAATAAGAGAATCTGGAAACTTAATTGCAAATCTTCCCAACATCTCAGTTGCCTGAGTAATATATCCTCTTCTGAGCACAAATGTGCTCTCATGGCAGATGGGCCTTACAGTACAGTTCTCATATTGATATAAATTATAATTTCAAAATATCTGAAGGGCTTTTGTGTTGAGGGAGGGAGAGGATTTTCATAAATTCTCTTTTTGTGAAATCCTATTTCACCCTCCCCTAAAGATCACGGGGAAGATGGGAAAACTTTAGCAAAGCAGCTATCAAAAGAACATGAGCTTTTTTCTTTCTTTACATATTGCTTTGAGTTGGAATAAAGTATCTCTGTTTCTTTAAGTGATAAGAAAAGTTCTCTTTGATCCATACCCTTTAGATGAGAAAAGTCTCAGCTTCTCCTCCTTAGCCCAAGAGGCAGTAGGGGGAGTCATCATCTCCCAGTAACTCAATTTCAGTCTCTTTATTGTCTTCCATGAGTGAAATCAGGTCAATCTCAGAGCTCATAGCGTGAGCTATTTGGGTAATGAGCAGTTAGCACTTGGGGGGCTTTGGAAGCATTTATTTCACAAGAGATAGCTGAAGTCAAGAGCCTCTTGTTCTATGGGATAGTCTGTGATTCGCAGGCATGATTCTGAAAAGCTCGGAGACCTTTCCAGGAGTGAGCAATATTCTACAATAAGGAGCTGAAGAATTCAGGGACCAATTTGGGCTTCCTGTGTATCTTGGCACAAGGCAGCGATACCTGCTGTGCATGACTGACATAACATCCAGGTAACTGAGGGTGCTGCTTAGCCCTGTGCTCTCCACATAATCAGAACTTGGTGCTTTTAAATTAGAAGTGATAAATCAAATGGAAGGAACACATTTTGCAATAATACTCACAGTGATGACGTACCCATAACACGTCACTGCAGAGTTTGCTTAAGGAGCCTAAACCTTCCCAGCATCCTTCCTTTCTGAGAGAGGATGGGTTTGCATGAGCCTCATTAATAGACAAATCATAGATTTATATAATGACTTGAGTTGGAAGGGACCTCAAAGTTCATCTAGTTCCAACTCCCTTACCATGGACAAGAAACAACTGCAAACAGTTCTTGCCCATAACTACCCAACATGAGCAAGGATAAATCCTAAAAAGCCTGGCTAGAATTACTTTCGTATGTATGTTTTTTGGATAAAACAGCCAAACTTAAGGTATGTTATTTTTATGTGATCAGCATGGTCATTAGTGAGCTCAGGATGGAGTCTTCGCTGTTGCTAGAAGCAAGAAATATCTTGTTAGTATGGTACAGCATCATGCCTTGGGTGCCAGGTTGCTCTGACACCTGATGAGCGTTCATGAAAGAGTAATTAGGGCATGATGAATGTCTTAGCAGTCCTAAATCAGAACTGGAAATTTGGTTCCAGGATTGAAGGGAGAAATTTTATCTTTCTGCCTACCATGTTTGGAATAGTTCTTAGAATTGTCTTTAGAAATTAATGTAATGCTGATTCTAGGTGGTATTAATGAAGTAATAGTGAAATATGCTAATCAAAAGGGCTTTTTTGTCTCTTAGGAAGCAGAGATCCTGAACACAGCTATTCTCACTGGGAAAACAGTGGCTGTCCCTGTCAAAGTGATCTCTGTAGAAGATGATGGGACTGTGACTGATCTTCTGGAATCTGTGGAGTGCAGATCATCAGATGAAGATGTCATTAAGGTAGGCTCATACTGCTTCATTGCACCAAGGGAGAGGCCCAACAAAAAAGCCATGTTCTCTAATGTGACAAGTTCTTTCTTTTTCTAACTGCTATACTGCTGAGAAACTAAGGTTTATTATCACTGTTATGTGTAGATTGGTTCGGTGGAGCAATGAAACAAACAGGAGATTGCATATATTCCAATCTACGTGTCAAATACTTGGAACTGCCTGTCACTTCCCACCTTTGAGAAGTATTTTCAGAGTTCATTCTACCTCTGCTTTTTACTCTTCAGTTACATGGGTTGTGTGGGGTCAGGAAAGTTGGCAGCTTCTAGCAAAGGAAATAGTTCCTCTGAAGTTAGTTTGCCACACTGGTATAGGAATTGTGTGTCTCAAAGCTCATGTCTTTTCTTGGTACTAAGCTGCTCATGTACTGCAAACATTAGCTTTGAAATTGTGACTCTCTGCAGCTAATAGAGTGCCCACAGAAAGCACACTGCCTACCAGTCACGGACTGGCAACTACTTGATAAGACACTTGACCAATGGATTTACTCTGTACAACAGCTATGTAGGCTGATCTTTGAAAGATAAGCAGCAGCAGACAATAGAATGGCACTTGTACCTTTTACTCGCAGTGTTATGCTCCTTCAGTAAATGGTGAGGAGACATCTTGCAGGAAGATTTCTAAGCCACCATTTTTGTTGAAATCTTAGGGTCAGGATGGACCCTCAAGAGGTGTACTGATTCATGAAAACATTTCATCTTGTACCAGTAAACATCGAAAGTTTATAAGAAGCCCTGAATATTTCTGCTGAGGTTGGTTAATGGTTCATGTACATTAATTGTAGTGGAAGCCACAGTTGACCATGATGATAGTTGGAGATACAGTGGAAGGCACTCCAGCATGGTGACAGAAATGTTGGCTCGTGTACAGCAGCTTATATGCTTTTGAAACTTATGCACAACTGTCACATGAGAAGACAAAATGAGAGACATGGCTACAAATAAACATTCTTTCTTTTTTTAACATAACCAGCATGTCACAAAATGATTAAAAATACTCCATGCCACCCCTCCAGCTGCTGGAAACCACTGTTTTCCCATTAACTTTTGTGAACTGCACCATATTGAGGACTTGGCCTTTGTGAAATTTGCCTTAGACTAAAACTGAGTGGAATGCTAAGCATTCTTCATCTTACCTTCGTTCATTTTACTTTAGATTGAAATGGCTGAGGGTATTGTTTATCTCCAAGCAGGCCTCTCTGGGCCCCATTAGCTGAAAAAGACTCTTCCTGGTGGAGGTAGTTGTCTTTAAAGGAAGAGAAGAGTGCAGGCGCTTATTTGTTACTGTCATATGGGAGAAGTGTTGGAAGTTTGATATTTAACTTTATGTCACAGAGGGAATGACAACCTGGAGCAGGGTAATTGAAGAATAGAGCTTGGTATGGATTTAAATGATCTCCCTTGAACTTTTTCTAAACAGATTTCACTTTTTGTCAAAATGTTGTAAGGTTGATACTTATTGGACTTGTTTTAAGCAATTTCTTCATGATAATTTCTTTTACACGAGATGAGCCCATGCAATTTAGAAGTCCATCTTCTCTTATGTTTTCATTTTAGAATCTACTCAGCTCTTCTATTTATCTGAATAGCCACCATGCTGGCATTTTCTGATTAAATGTCTTTCTGACTGTCTTAATCCAGACAACCTTTTTGCTTCTATGGAGCCCCTTAGAATCTGATAAATCTGCCAAATGCAGCAAATTGATGAACGGAACCTAAGTTTTAAAATATAGAGAAATAATTTGTTTTTCTTGCCTTGTGTTGTGGAAGTTAATGAGCTAAGTCTTCACTCACATAAATTAATTAACTTTTCAGTTTATTCAGAGAACTGGAAAAATAATTTGAAAGCAAATATATCATTTGGAATATATTTTAAGCATTAATTCTATTTTCCGCAGGTCTTGTTTATCAAATTGTTTTGTTTTGGCCTACATAAATCTCCAACTGTTTTGGTATATAATATGTTCATTTCTTACCCTGGCAAAGGACTTAAAGTGGTAGTACTTCCTATATATATATCTGTCATCAGTAAATTCATTAATGTACCTATAAAAGTTTGTGTGCTTCTGATATATATACCCTTTCACATTGATGCTAATGACAAGACCTACATCAAATAGAAAATCTAGTCAGAGAGAAGATGTTTCAGGCTTCTACAAACATCCCACTAGAGTTCACTCCTCTGCAATAGAATGGCAGATTTCAGGAGCATTAAAATGAGTCACCGGTTTAAAGTGAGCTTTTAATTGAAAATGTCTGAGTTTTCAGTTTACCTTCCCTGTTTCAGACTAAGCTTTATTCACAGACATCTTATGTAATGAAGATAAAGTTATACAATTAGTGGCCAGCCTTCAGCATGCAACAGTAATTAGAGTTTCTATTCTCTGGGCATTAGAGAAAGGAAATAAAAAATGGAAGAAAATGTCTGCTTTAAATGCCCATTGAAATATAAAGTCTTAGGTTTCTATGTCTTCACTGTTACTGTTTTTCAACACATCTGTTGTGTAACTTCTTTTATTCCTCCTTTTTTTTGGTGTTGTTTGATGAAGAATTTAAGCTCATTTTCCCTGCTGGGTGTTAGTATCCCCACTTAACTTCTAGTTACAGGAGCCACATTTATTACTCACTTCTTTCACTGTGGATTTCAAAGCACTTCTACAAAATTGCATCTACCCGAACTTGGTTGAATAAGTCAGAGCAGAATTTAGTCCACTTAAACAATATCACTAATGGCAAAAGATGGTGTGAAATGATTTACACTGATGGAGTAACCATTCCAAAATAAGGGAGGCAAATTACAGGCTGTTTCACAAATGAGAATGGCCCCTTTTTTAGCCTTACCAAAGCAGAGAAATCTCCAAAGCATCACTTTTCAAAGCTCTGCATTTTCAGTCTTTTCAGGTAGAGATGCAAAACTGTTCCAAACACATCTATGGTAGGTAGCTACTCCCAGTCAGGTGAAGGCTTAATAGCTGCTTTATTCTGCTTGCTTTGGAATGTATGAAGGAGGTAACAAAATACATGGCAATTTCTAAGATATTACTGCAGACAAACAGAACTTCCAATAACACTTAGCCTGGTTCTATCTGTGTGTTATAGCTTGATTGTGTTTAATAGCTCACCTGGTCCAAAGGAAGAAGCCTGTATTCATCCTGGCCTGTGTCTGTCCAGTGAGTCACTGGGAGGAGAGGACAGAGGGAGAAATGCAACCTGCAATGGGGGTAGAGCAGAGCGGAAGATGAAGAGCAGCAAAGAAGAGCAAGCCCCTGTTTCAGAAGCCACAGTCTATTCCAACAGCTAACCACAATGTGAAATATTCAGGAGAGGTTGTCACAGAGGTTTTGTAGCTCAGGGTTCAGAGCATCCAAGTGGAAGGGAAAAGTGGATGTGGTCAATGTAGTTTGTTGTATGATATCAAAGAAGATACTTTCCCATCAGCAAATGGGATTTTGTTTAGATTGAACACTTGCACAGAATATGGTTGTTTAGGGCTGAATTTATGAAAAAATAAATCTTTGCCTTGGGGTTTGGGTGAAGATCAAGTTCAATCTGCCATGGTTTTCCACAATATAATGTGGTTTTTCTCACCAGCTGAACTGCCTTATTTCATTCCAAATAACTTTGATCTGTCTTGAAACAAACATTTGATTTAAGTCAGCAAATGGATGTTTTTATTTTCTGCAATGTCTAAACATTTCATTTTGATAGAAAATGATGAAATCATGTCCTGTCATTTCAGCTCAATTTCAGTATTCCTGACATCAAAATCTTTCTGAACTTTTTACCTTAGGATGAAGCAACTGTGAGAAAGAAAATACTTTTCCTGGTCTGATCTAGTAAGCAGGATACAGGACAAACTCAGAAATACACAGTACTCAAAATAAAAGTTGAGTGCTGGTGATGTTGGTTTTCAAGGAAGGAACAATGCTAGTATCTCTCTAGTATGAAGAGCAGGCATGGCAAAGATGAGTTCTGATTGTAGAAGTGATGTAACTGTCCCACATCTTTCGGGAATCATTCAAAACTCACCCAAAGCTTTATTGATGGAGTTGTTTGCCTTTTTCTCATCACCCATTTTGAAAACCCCACTATGAGTGGGACAGGTGAGTGCATAATGCTTGAAAAGGAACTTTTTCCAAATTCTGCAGAAGGTACCAACAAATCTGTTTAATGGGAAAGGATGTGCATTCTTTTCGAGCCATGATGATAATCTTTTTTTCTGTGGTATTTTTGTTACATTGTGGGGACAAATGTGTCCCCACATAAGAACATAAGAACAAGACAAAATTAAAGAATATCAAAACAGATGTCATAGAGGAATTCTGTTGAATATGGAGTCGGGGATCATGGCTTCATGGCTTCACTTCTTAGTCACTGATATGAATTATTTATGATGTGAAGAAGACAGCTAGTAGTCAGCAGTGATTGTGAGAGATTCGAAAGAAACTATAATGACCAGGCTTGTAGAGCTGTTGTTTTTGCAGAAGAGTAATTTCAAATTTCTTCTTCTTCTATTTTTTCTTGGTGTTGGAGAAGAGTTAGCTTTTGAGTACAAAGATTTGAAATTCTGGAAAGTGTTTGATTTCATAGCTTGAGCACTGGAATGAGCTGGCATCGAATAGGCATTTCCCTGCTGTCATATCGTTAGTCTGATGCCATCCATGTGGAAGGCTTATCCTAGTCCTGTGCCTATGAATCCCTCTAGTGAAGCTACTCGGGAACTGTGATGAATATGTTCTTCCAAGTGTTTTGCCTATTTCTGAGAGTCAGATTTGTACAGCAAAAAAAAAAAAACCAAATAAAAAAACCATGTAGAAATGTCAAAATCAATTCCCCTTTCAAAGGGGATTATGTGTTGTACTTTTTTCAGCTGCTTTCAAAACTCAATTCATTGTGTGCTGTATCCCAGCGCTGAGAAGTGCTCCATCATCTCAATAAAAAGAGATTGGATGA